TGATACATGATGATGATATATGATGCTGATGTATGATGATGGTGATACATGATGATGATACATGATGGTTTATGTTGATACATATTTATACAAAATGAAGTTACTTGATAATCTTATGTCTTTGTTTTCAAAGACCTAAAGCTGTACAGACAAGAGGACAAATAGAATGTGTCAAAGATTTCTGCAAGTTTTTAAATCACCTTTGGATTGTTTTCCCTTCTTGGTAAGTCTGCACATCCTAGGAGTAAGTTTATTCCTCAGAGGACCAGCTCTAACTGCAGTGATTTAATTCAATTTGGATTCAGTGACTTGATACCATGCAGGGACGGCAGAACAGTTCTTAACTTCCTCTCTCCTCCCTGTTTTGAGCTGAACTTTTACTGGCTAATAAAAAATCTTTTTCTATCCAGTCAACCAGGTTTTAAAAAGTTCACTTTACAACATTATCTAACTCGACAAAAGCATATTCTTCATGGAATGGAGGCAAGGCAACTGAAAAATTTACCTAAGGTGAGTTTGTCAGAGTTGTTGTTTGATCTTTATAATGATTGGTGATTGGCTTCTGTTAATCCAACAGTTACACTCCTGTATAATATAAGTAAAATATATTTTGACTTAAAAGACATGTAATATAATTTGTTATACATCRGCTGCAATCTTATTTATCTGTTCAGATTGTATGTATCACTTGTTCACGGTTACTCGAACTCGCAAGCGTCAAGGCCGAAGACACAGACATGAAATGGGGCTTACCTGTGGAAGTAAAACAAGTATTCTCTGAACCCGAAGAAGAAGCTGTCTCAACGACCGACGACACACTTGCCACTACACCTCCAAGAGAAGAAATCCGAGTCCTCCCAGACACTCCCAAGACTGAGTTGAAACACAATCCGTATGTCGAGTCTGTTATTGGAGGTCTTCAGCGCTCACAGACCCTTGTTGATGCCACTCACGATGATGATGATGATGATGACGAGGCGCGCCATTTATGTGCACCTGTGGGATCACGCATGTCTATGATGGTTGGACTGACACAAAGATCACGGGCACACTCTGAACCAGACATCTATAAACAGCACGGTGACTGTCCATCAAGCACCGATGCAGTCACCACTCCCCCTCCTCTCCTCCCTGGGGGGATACATGGTGTACGACTAGAGCTCTTAGACTTAAACAAATTAAAAAACAATGGTAAAAAAAACATCTTCACAGCTGTCGAAGAAGATGAAGATAAAAATGACGCCGAATCAGATAAGGACACTATCAACACAAGCCCCTCTGTCGATGCTTCTACTCCGTCACAAGAGGACGTCACCCAGGCTCCCTCTGATTCTGAAGTCGATAGAGACATGGTGGCGAGAGCACTGGGTGCTAGTGCCTGTGCTGACTCAGGGGTGCAAAATAAAACCGATAAACTGAAGGTGAGGATCGTTTGTCCATTTGTATATCCCACTGCGTTGTGTGGTATTCATAAACTTGTCACACTACCTGATTGGTTCTTGATAAATAATTATTATGATAATAATTATCACTAAAAACGAATTAGAAGACTGTCACAGATGCGTTTTGTTTGGCTTTTCGCTATAAATGTAATGATTTGTGATTTATATAGGGTATAACAACCCCTCCCCCCAAATAAAACAGTCCTGCGTTCTGATTGGCTATATGCTCCTATGTGCTACTTTAATCCTGTGACAGACAGGACAGACCATCACAAGTAAGAATACACACACATAAACGACCGCTCCACCAAAACGCAAACAAGCTTCCTTAAAAACACGTTCAACCAATAATAACACAGATAAAAATACATACAACATTTGTGCTCGACAGAAATGAGCGGGAGGTTATGAGTTGCGCAACAAACCATAGCTTTATCGAGCCACTCCCATAACAAAAATTAAAATTCCTAATAATTAATTAGCCAATTAATTAATGTCTAATTTCAGCGAAAACTGAACACCAGTGATTCTGGTTGGGACGACGTAAGATTTGAAAGTGACCCATGGGTTTTGTCTCGCCTGCTGTGGACGTGGTTGGAAGATCTGGAGGTAAACTACTATCTTATTGTTCACCAGCCACTTCGTTATATACTGCATGTAGATCACAGAACGCTTGCGCACGGTATGTTATAATTATCAGTAAAACAGCTGCACACTGTACTCGTCTAGCTTATCGATCGGAACAATGAGAAGCCGAGGATGGATATGAGGAATATGCAAGTTAGTTTAAGGTTGCGCGCGACGTTACATGCCCTGTTAATTATAGATAACAATAGAAGCACAACAGGAGCTCGCATGTTATAGTCAAGGTATATAGAACGGTTGCACACTGTACTCGTTAGGGCTATCGGACACATGAGAAGCCGAATATAGACATAAGGAATGCGCAAGTTACGTTTAAGGTTGCGCGCGACCTTACATGTTCTGATAATATTATATAACTCTATAGAAGCATAACGGAAGTGCGCATGTTATATGTTATATAGTCACGCCCGGCTTAGACGGTGGACGATCCCGCGAAGACTCTAAGTAATCTTGACATTGAACGTCCTTTTTGTCATAACAGGAGCCTGTGTTAAATGAATCAGATGTTGATCAGTTGAGCACGGGAACAGATGACCCTATCATTGCTGTGAAGAAGCTAAAGAAGGTGAGTGGAACCTATGATGCTATGATGTATAGATATCTTTTCCTTCGGAGTACTGTTTTAYCATTTCAGACCACTTGTCATTCTCTTGAGAATAGAATTCTTTGAGCTGTACGCCTATATTTAAGTGTCTTCTTATTCGCAACCGTTAAACATAGAAATAATACTCTAGAGAATGTAATGTGGTCTGAAATGTGAAACTTTACGCCCAAGGTAAAGAAGTATATTTGGTGGTGGAGTAGGTGGTTGGGAGGGGGGGTGGGAGGGGTGGGGTCAAAAGTCTGTTTTGCGGTGCTTCCTCGTGGCTGGGCTGCTAAGCATAGTTATAAACCTACATATAGCATACCTATAATACAGTATTGTATGACATAATATTTCATTCATATTTTGTTTAGRGTATTAAAGATATTTTAGAATGCCTTGTAACTACAGTTTTAGAGGTACGTTTTCCACCTTATCGACGGTGATTGTTGTAATATTTTCAATATTGCCATTTGTGCGCCAAAAATATTCATATCCCTTTTCCGCAGTTTTCGTTAAGAAACCAAAAATGCGCTCATTTGCGTTTTCATTTTCACTATTCAAAGTCCAGTAAATTTTGAATAATTACACTTTTTTGGAGTCAACGTTGTATCGACGACTCAAGTGCAGCACAGTGCTTTCGAGCACTATAATTGGTTGGTGTGCAATTTCGTGCTTTCTGATTGGTTCAGGGCAAAAGCCATTTGAATGTCTCAATACAGCACAAAAAGCTTGGCATTCACATTTAACATCTTTGATATCTTTTTTGAACGCAGCTCGAACCATTATCCACCCAGCTCGAGGATCGTGTGCTGCGTCGTCTAGCCATGGTTCTCACTCACGACCGAAAACTACCTCTTACGACCACTAGAGCTTCTCTAGATAGAATGGCTTCAACGTCCTCAGGGGGGGTCGAAGAGGCAGCAGTAGACGAGCGAAATAACTCCGAGGGGGAGGTAGAAGGGGATGTCACCTGTGATGATAGTGATTCTAATACCTCTGTGACGTCATCTACGTCGTATCGACTGTTATTGTTTTTAAGACAGTTAATGCGAACTTTAAGTGGTCAAAATCTGCACAAAAGTTAGAAAGGAACAAGTTGAATGGGAATAAGAATCATACTCGTGCGGCAGCAAAAAGTGAAGGTTACTGTACTTGAATGGATCGGAGCTTGTTCGTTAGTTATCAGCCTAATCTAGGTTTTGTGGATATACGTTGTCTTCCTAATGCTAACGAATGTACAAAACGACAATTCGAATGTTCTAATTATGAGTTGCGATCCCTTGGTGTGACTGGTTTATGGTTGGAGGGGCTGGAAGATTAGCAAATGATTTACATTACTTAACATTATCAGAGTAATTTGCTAAAAGGCTTTCCCTTTATGTTAGTAAGATTTTAATAATAATGATTTAATATTTCTATTAATTTATTTAAGTTATTTAAAAAACAAGTTTGTCGTCCAACATGGTAGGAAATGATCACGTGATGTGTTGGTGAGCTCGTCTGCTTATAGCCTGTCTACAACCGCTTCCCACYCCTCCTCCCCCACGGGAAAAAGGAGGAGGGGTGCGAAGAGGCTGTCTGTTCATAGAGCCAAGTGCTGACGTCGACCGTTGATTGATGAAAAGCGCCAGTCATATGATTGTATCAAAAGCTATACGATAACGACCGAATCACGTGACTGTAGCTTTAAACGCGTGACTGTAGATCAAGCCATACGAGTGTGATTTGTCATGTGACTGTGACTTTAATCACGTGATTGTAGCTTAAGCTATGGATATAACCTAATCATGAATCTGTAACAGTCACGTGATTGTGAAATAAGCCACATGTTTGTAAGCTAGTCACGTGACTGGCTCTAATGAAGTACTTGCTCAGATCTCACACTTGTGACTTTATCACGCGATCAGTAACTCTAGTCACGTGATCGTGGGTGACCACGTGACTAAAGYTCAACTGTATATTTTTGAAGGGAAGATTTATAAGGATTTTATATAAGGATATAATTAACTGTATTAATAAAGCCTATACATGTTTCAGGACTACACGATTTCTGGACTAAGAATAGTATATTAAGATTTATCCCAAAAGGAAGCTACGTTCATAGCTGTCTACGCGATCGAGCACCTCATGGATGACAATGTACACGTCTCTATAAGAATCCTGTGTATCGAGACAACCATCTTCTACGAACCCATAGCTGCCTACCGATCGAGCACCTCATGGATGACAATGTACACGTGTCTAAGAATCCTGTGTATCGAGACAACCATCTTCTACGAACCCATAGCTGTCTAACGATCGAGCACCTCATGGATGACAATGTACACGTGTTTAAGAATCCTGTGTATCGAGAAAGCCATCTTCTACGAACCCATAGCTCATGCATAGCTGTTTAACGATCGAGCACCTCATGGATGACAATGTACACGTGTCTAAGAATCCTGTGTATCGAGATAACCATCTTCTACGAACCCATGGACCCTTCCACCACTGCCTTGTTATTTTGCTTACTTTGTAACAAGATTTGAATCACATTCTGACCCTTTTAGGATAATTGATTTCAATCACTCTGTTGGCCTCTTAATCATATCAGACTGCGTTTCAGCTCGGGTCACAACCACGACGCTCACTCACTGATACGCGTTGAACTAGATATAAAAAGCAACAGAGTGGCGGGCACAAATAATAAGTGCACCTTTATTGAATGTATTTTACTCGATTTGTAAAGAAGATATTCTCCCCAAGGTTACGGTTTTAGTACTTACTTTAGGGGGCGTAGAGTGGCCGAGCCGAGAGACATTGCGCGCTTAGTAATCAAAGGCCCAAGTGAAGATCTCTGGGGGAATCTTGCCAATGGTGAAATAATCAAATGCAAGACCTGGATGTTGTGGAGAAAAATGGCTGAAATTGATCGAAAGTTTTTAGTAATTTTCATAATCCTTCACAAAACATTCAGTCTTTTTAAAACAAAATTCGTTCGGGAAAAGATAGTGAAAAACGTCAAAGTTAACTAATAAAACACCTACGCATTTCCGGCGATATATTCTCATTTTAAAGACATAATCATAGCAAATCGACCCAACACAAAATGATGATTTATCACTTCGATAATGACTTCCGCGGTAGAGGACGCATTAATTGTCTTATCGGGCCGTGAAATCAACTTACTTCCCCTATGTTCCACCTCAAAGATTACGATTACAAATTACTAAATGAATTAGTYAATTAAGATATTTTGGGAAAACGTTTTAAGCTATAGTAAGATTTCGATCACTTATTTTCTTGATCCTTTGGGGGTGGGAGGTACTATAATAATCTTATTAAATGCTGTTGATTTCAATTTAGATTTCGTTGGCATTCCTTTTCTTTCAATATTTCCTTTAGTTATATATGTGCCGAGTCCATGAAAGAATTCTCGGAGGGTGCTGAGAGGCAGGCGAAAATAAGATCATTTTTGCGATACTTCTACTAGATCTTTTAAATCTTCACTGAGATCTTTTTCCAGCGGAGTTGAAATGCTGCATCGCCGTGTTTATCGGCTCCAGACTGCACACCGAGATATGTTGCTGTCGCGTCGATATAGAAAAGCTCACGAAATTGGCCAAGGTTTGGGTAGAAAACGGTGAAATGGCTTCCCGGGATATGAAATGCCCTGTGAAAATGCTGGATTTATCTTGAAATATCAAAAATCTACTGACTAAGCGAATTCCAGAGAGTGTGACGAACGAAAACGGAATATCCCTGACCCAGTAGGAGAGAGAGATAAAGGCGGGGTCAAAATATAAATGGACCCGTTCTGATATAATCACTCGCACGTGTGACACCCTGAAATTCACCCCAATACTTAAGCAATCGATTCAAGAGAGATAACTTTCAGTTTTAGACCTGCTATCTCGTTACTATGACAATAAACTAAATTAGAAAGTTATCGAGTATCCTCAGTGACTTGGTATAATTGGTTTGACTAGATCCGGGCCATGATTACAGGAATTATTTTCGCGGATAAGCAGTAATTATCTCTACTCTTCTTACCAAAACCTTTTTGATTCCTTTTTTTCACCGATGATGTTGCAGTTGTGCATCACTTCGTAGCATTTTCACCTTATTTTTGTATCAATGCTTTTGTGATTCGTCTTAAGGTCGCGAGATCATCTTGCGCGATAAGTGAGTGACATTAAATCATTACAACACAATCGCTGACAGAAATTCTTAATAAGCATGCTAATGGAAAATCTACCATTCGCCTGCATTCCAAGAGACTCAACAGACAATCCTACTGGCGTCTTGAGAAGATTCGCGGATCCGTTTGAAAAAACCTTTCTAAATTCTACAGCGCCAAGCCGAGCGCTGTAATTTCAAAGAATCGTTTTGAGCGGAAGAATAAAGCGGCTTTCTGAAGATTTAACTCTACTACAATCATCGTCAAAAGCTACAGCCGCCCGGAACAGGAACGTCCCGAAGGCCACGGCACAGCTATTTACAGGTACGCACCTTGTATTGCTCAGATTTGTTTGGAGGACCTTGTCAATTATTGACTTCCACTGTAATTGATATACATAGATCACTATTGTGGTTTATAAGGTGGCTTTAAGCGAGACCCATATCTTTATCAAGTAAGAATACAAGGCGGTATTTACTCTACAAACTTTACGCGCGGCTTGTGCGTCGTCAAGGTAAATGTAGTGATCAATCCTGGCCCTGATGTTAGAGCGAGATATCGTTCCATCATTTGATGCGCCAACTTCAGTTTGTCTGTCAGTTTGCAGTGCCTGAGAGAAAAGCCAAGCTCACATCTTTTGACTCCTACACTAATTCTCTGGATTACTCTTCAAAACGGTAAGAACCTATCGTTTTGATTTTGAACTAAAAATCTCCAGTTTTTTTTAGCGAGGCAAAAATACGAACCCAAAAATATTTCTGTCAATGTTGGAATGTGCCCCGATTTTATAGAGACTTTTAGGCAACGTATTTCTTTGTTTTAGAGCTTACTCGACTTAAGCCGTTTATAACAAAAGCAAAACAAACTCATTAACGCGAAACAGTTTTTAAACTAACAGTTAAATCATAGGAGAAACAAAGTTGTTTATCTATGGCACTAACTTTACTGCTCCAAGTTCTCACTATCGTAAAGTACTGTTCAGTTAATTTAATTAGACTCTCCAAGTTTTTTTTCGCTACGAAATAAACGTGTAAACTAGAAACACTTCTAAATAACGTAACTTTAAGGGGGAAAAAAGAGGAATATTGTCTTCTATTTCTAAGTTTGTCATAAATAAAGGAGGATTTTCTAAGGGAAGATTAAATAATGAAGGTTTTCTTAAGGAAATCTCCCTCTTATGTGATTCACTAGATGCTGAGGTTGCCTCTAGTTCGAATCATGTTATTTCTCAATCAGCAGTTCTATAATGCCCTACATATTTTAATCCATCTGTGACACTTTTTTAACAAGATTAATGCCACTATTTTATTAATATCTATTTTCAGAGCATACTATAATAATAGTCAACTCAAGTATTTTTTYGTATTTTCTCGAGAAACGTCTTACTTTATTACAGTTTTAAGACGAATCACTTTTTACTAAGTGACCTTTAACTTGTTCAATTTGCAAGAATAAAAACAATAATTGTTTAGTGATTTAGTTTTAAATGCTAGTTCATTGAGAGGGAGTTTTGCTTGAGGCGTTTTTCGTCTTGTTCAATGAGCACGTTCGAGCTAATCCGCTAAGATATCGTTACAAAAAATACAGCTCTGCGACCCCCCAAAAACCAATCTCTCTTATGCTTTACTGATGCGAAATAAATTGTAGAATAACTTTCTAACGCATAATCAATTTATTACTTTACGAAAAAATTAAGTCTTCATTGTACGCGATTGACTTCAAAGTTCACCTAGAGAACACAGAGTTGATTTTCCAACGATAATATTTATAAACGAAACGTTATTGAACTGTTGGATGTTTACCAAGCTTTTAATTCTTTGCGTATTTATCGAAGTAGAGTGCACGCACTAAAACCGTGAACATTAAATAGTACTAATTAGTACTATTTCATACAGAATCCTTCGTTTTCTATTGTTTAATTATCACTATTTAGTGTTAAAAATTAGTATTTGTTTCACGGATTTATTGTGAGCACTCTATTGATTTTATTGAAGGTGTTTCTCCTTGAAATTCCGAGTTCATTCGGTTTAGGCTGAAGCTTAAAAACGAAAGATAAAAATGATATTCTTTATTTATTTAGTTGACAATTTCTAAGCGTAACTAAATCGATTAAAATAACAGGGTTGTAACAATTAAAATACTAAAACTAAGCTTTTTTCCTGTTGTTTTTGCTAGTAATGGTTTTAAGCAATGGTTATCGATAATATTGGTTAACGCTGAAGCAAGATAAAACTTTTGATATTTTTGCCAAACTCCCAAACGCACGTGTTTTGATCCACTATCGCTTAACTTTAAGGTTATCGATAGGTAGACGTCGCTCGAGTAACAAGATCCATTTCCCGCTTCTATCATTCATCTACTCTATCTAAGCTTCCTTAAATTTCCTATATTCTCTTTTTGATACCGTTTAGAAAAATAAATGCAAGTAGATTCAAAGATGTGTGTTATTTGACTAGAGAAATCTAAAATCTAGCTGATAGGTATAGTAATATAGAAGAGATCAATTGTGTTTAATAAGAGTGGAACCTCTGGAGTCAGTCGTGCAAGTTTTGTCTATCTATCACGTGCGTTTTCACCGCTGAAAATACAAAATGATGCATGGCGATAAAATCATCAAACTCTTCATATCTGTCGAGTCGGCTTTAGTCTTTATCAGGGGATTCTGGTTTGTCGCCGCAGCGACTTACTATTTCGATAATAGGTAATTAGTCGAAATCTTGCTGAGAAAACAATAGATTTGACCTTGAAGGCAAACATTGCTGGGTTGACACTGATGAAGATGGATAGTGTAGATGAATAGTAACTTGAGGTGACGCTTTGGTAGTTTAGTCAAAACAGTCGCTTCCGCGGACAATCGGAGTTCTCATCGGGGTCGGTTGT